GAAGCTCTGTGTATTTGATCTCATGCTTAGCGTACAACGCTGTGACAGCCGGCGGCGGAAGCGTCCACTTATCTTGCGGTTCGTTCGCTCGCTCGCTCTCTCTCTCGAGCAAACGAGACGCGAGATGTGGAGCAGGCGCTCGCGCCAGCAGCTTTGCCAGCGTTTACACAATACAGTCACAGACAGCTGAAAGAACGCAGGGTTCGTCTCATTATGCTCGCGCTATGTTATTAGCTGCGCAGTGATCTTAAGATCCTCGTAACCCTCTAGCGTTTGTTAAGCTTTCAGTTTCTATACTTTCCAAACGGAGTATATACGGAACGCAAGTTCGTCTGGTTCTTTATGCAGGGGCACCGACTTCAGAACGCTGTGCTTTGATTGGTTCTCATGGAGGATAGCGGGTAGACCTCAAAGCAAGCTGCCTCGAGGTCTACCCGCAATCTTTCCGATCGGAGCCATCCAGAACGCGGCGATGTGACATCACCGCAGCCCCTGCTCAAAAAGCAGACGAACCTGCTCTCCGTATAGTCACCAATCGCTTTTAAGAAATGGCTGACGTGTCTCACTAGGTACTCGCATCTGGCTTTCCGATTTCTTATGTGGCGTTCCCATTGGCTAATATCTCGATTTCATGGGGCGGTCTAGTTCGGCTAGTACACGGAACTCGCCACACTCCTGCATTGTTTTTTAATATGTCAGTGGCTATAGTTTTCTGGAGCGGTACAACTAACAATTTGAGGATATCAAGAAAGACACCAATAGAAAAATTCGTACTAAAAGTTATCCAACCAACTTCCTAACCGCTTCGAGATTATTAAGAACTAAGAGACAACATTAGCGGAAGCGCAAGGGACAGACCTTTTTTGCTAAATTTCCCAAGCACCAGGAAGCATGGTGCGAGTTTAGTACACGCGCTGCACGTGCTGGCGTCTGAAGTAGTAACTGTTCTAATAAAATAACATAAAAAACACCTAAAACTAATTTTATCTTGCACGTGCGTTCGTCAACGCCTTACTTTCGTCATTTACTTTGAATCTTTTATATCAAAAAAGGAGAGCGCGTGCGGCGTCAATGCTTACATTCCCAGCATTCTTTTTTTTTTACTCTGGGGAGATTTAGCGATAGACCGATTGTCAGAGAATTGAGTCCATAGGACCCGCGCAATTCAAGAAGTTGATACATTTGAGGTATATTTCTTCGTTAAATACCTAATCTGGAAATCTTTTATAGTGGTCATGGTTTTATGCCTATTACCATAGTAACCCTTTTTGTGCGTTTGCCATTTGACTGCGTTATTAGCGCAAGTGAGGAAGCTTCAAATAGCGCGACTGCCTGTAGAGTAGTGTCACGTGTGCACTCCGATGGCTGCTTGAAAGACATGCCGGCTACCGTCGGCAGCTAGAAAGTACAAGGACCAATGAAGCACCACACCAAGACTTGCTCATGCAGTTCCGACTCCCAATAAGACTTTCCATGTGAAAGTCGTTAGAAAGTAACCCCAGTCGGTTTATCAGAGCCTCGTGTCTATACATCCCACTGTTTAGGCTGCTTTACACAGATGTTCTCAACAACAACCTCATAATCTGATCTTCTTGTGACGCAATATCGAAAGAGATATAAAGGCACTTTCACAAAAACTAAAAATAAGAGATCTCCTTGCATCGAGGATTGTAACATACTTATCCAACAAATTCTGGTTCGTCAAAGTTCTTTTTGAGTTACTTGTTTTTTTTTTTTTAGAAACACAACGAAGTAACACTGCTGACCTTAACTACAAGTATGTACAAAGCACATTTGCTTTGCATAAGCTTTTTTTTCACTCTTTAATGTTTTTGTTGTTGTTGTTGTTGCTGTTGGTTTTTTGCGCGCAATCTTAACTGAAATTTGCACCCTTACAGTTAATATGTTGTCTTTCTGTCTGAATTGCAGCTGAAAACTTCAAAACATGCATCGCCCATTTTCAGGAGACTAGGGCCAGAATGTAGGTATTGTGTCAAAATTATAGAAGAACGTTTATTGTATTGAATGCTGACAAAAGTTAATAATTATTCACGGGCCCGGATGCGCGGTTGTGATAATTCTCAGTAAAAAGGGAATGGCAGGTTGCGTCATGCACTTGTTAGCTAAACTGCAAGCTACTCGCAAGACGTGCAGTGTTAGCCGTAAGCGGTTTTAAGCAGAACATTCCGTAAAAGTTCAACGAGTTAAACATTCTTTAGGTAGTAGAAAAGTCAATTTAAGTCAGCTTCGTTTATCTTAATAATCGTTTCTTTGTTGTATTTTTGCCCAGATAGCAGAACAACAAGCTACGTAGAAGTTTATCCTAAGTTACTTAAGGTCGGGTTTGCAAAGAGATATGATAACAACAGTACGCAGAGACAGCTAACGAGCTAGCATAAATACGTCGTGTTTATTTTTTCGTTTCATTTGGCTCTTTTACTTCTATAACTTACCTAAATTCAACGAATCTACGCTAGTATAAGGTCGTGTCTGAAATTGCTGGTCTCACAACTTTCTCGATTCGCACATTGATTCCGTAAGTGATGACGTCACAGCATGGCGCTCCGCTCCAAACAAGCCGTTGCTAGGGCCGTTGCTATGGACAAATGCATGGCGGCTCGACGTGAGATTAAATATAAAAAAATACATACTTTTTTGTAACAATTGACTCTTCTCTATATCTAATCACAAAGACTTTTTCTATCGTGTCATAATCCGATGATAAATGCCCGTAATAAAGTTTCCCAACCGGTTTTGCCTCGCTAGCACACGACACGATAGCTTCGCGGGCTCAGTGGTTCTTTCTGAAAGAGTACGCGATTGCGTTAAATTAAATTCATTAATTCATTCATTCGTTTATTTTCCGTGCTCATGAACGGCGAGTAGCCTAAGTAATGATGCAGAGAGTCCGAAGGAGCACAGACAAAAAAAATCTACGGCACGTGTAACGTCTAGGCTTCCTCTATCTATTCCCTTTAAACGTTTCGATTCCACGTTTGATTTCTGAACGATGGTTGTTTCTGAGCGCAATCCTGTCGCATGTATTCGGTCATAGCAACGCCCCCTATCAGCGGTTTGTTTGGAGCAGTGACGTCACACTTATTAGGTCAATAACTACAGATAATAAGTAAAGTAGAGAAAAAAAAACAAAAAAACGTTCAATCAAAACGGGCAGCAGCGTCTACAGCACGCCAGTCGTTTCTCCTATCCAGTGACAACGAGCGACTAACCAGACTTTTTGACGTATCGATTAATCGATTCCTTCTGCAGTTTCTAACTAAAAGGCGCCAGACGGGAGAACAAGAAGAAACTTCCTCTCTGAAAACCTGACCTGCCAAGAAAGGAACAAAAGCGTACAGTATCCGAAGTGAGCTTCGTATTGTAGACGCCTGACGCGGTTATATCAACAACACAGACGTAAACGGCCGATGTTTACGACCCTCTGAACAAATAAATACAAAGCACACCGGCTTCTCATCTATAAAAAAATCGGCCAACACCCTGTCACCTCACTGGGGCAACTTCTAAAACAGAAATACATTCAATATATCTAATACAGTGGCTAATATAAGCTATCGAAAGCATTCGGAAGAAACTGAACACAAAAACCTCTTTATCTCCCAACCCATTTCTTCGACACTTATTTGCACGAACCTGAGAGCGTACAGTAACTGGTGCCATCTCCCTTTATTGTAAACAAGCTGTCGTACTCCAGCGTATATTAATAACCGCCTACCCTTGTCGCTTAGTAGAAATCTCGTTAAAACTGACAAAAAGAAGTTCAATGGTTGAAATGCAAATTGCACATTGTACGACAAATATTTTTTTTTTTACATTTATTTGTACGACTCTAAAGTCTTACAGTAGCTAGAACTGCCTGTTTATTGTAAATACGCTGTCCCTCTGGTACGAATCTTAATAACCGACTGCCGTAGTCGCCTCAAGTAGAGAACTTGTTAATACGGACCAAATGTCATTCAATAATCGATGCGCTATTGCGCATTGCAAAGAAACGAAAAGAAACTCTTATCTCCCAACGTATCCCTTAAACACTGATTTGTACGAACCCGAAAGTGTACAGTAGGTGGAGCCACCTCCGCTTATCGTGAGCGACCTGCCCTATTCGTCGCCTCAATCTTGAAAACGTGTTCATACGGGCACATAGATCGTTCAATATTCTTAGGGCTTTTGCGCAATGTGCAACTGCAAAAAAAAAGTGTTTCTTTATTTTTTTTTTTTTTGGTAGGAACCTGAGGACGTATATTAGCTGGAGTTACCTCCATTTATTGTAAACAACCTGTCCTACCCGTAAACGGCCGCCTTCGTCGCCTTGGCAGAAAACGCGTCAACACAGGCACAGTGTCGATCAAACGTATAAAGAGCCCTGTTGCAAAAAGTGCAAAAGCAAAAAAAAAAAAAAAAAAAACGAAAAAAAAAACCGTTTATTTTAATTGATTTTACCGGCTGACGGAAAAGACTTTTCATTAATAAAAGAAAAAAGTCAACGAGAGACTGAGGTCTGTGCCTACATTGCGTAACAATAGTGATTATACACGAACAAAAAAAGAAATTAAGAAAAAGGAGAAGATCCGGAAGCACCTTACTCAAGTGACACCTCTTTCTCAACAAACGGCGTCGGTAGTGTCAAAAGAAAGTGCGCTGAGTACGAAGACATCTCTCGTTAGAAGACCAGTGGGTCGGTGTGCGAGGAATGTCGGCGACGCCGACAAATAAGGTTCCACCAGGTTCCTCTCGCAAAAGAAAGAAACAGAGAAACCTCCGGAGGAAAGACGGGGAACAGCGCTCGGTACGGGGAGAGGAGGATATACTGAGACCCGTGATTGGGCAGGAAATACGAGGATCGAAAAAGATGGCCAGTGGAGAAGAGGGGGGGGGGGGGGGGGTAACAATGACCAAGAACAAAGAAGTATTAAGAGAATAAAAAAGAAAAAAGCAACGAAGGAAGACTGGAACACCGTGGGCGGGAGACCGAACATTACCTTCTTCGAGCTTCGGATCCCCGAGTTCGATGTAGAGCACAGCGTCTTTCTCGTACGATTCGTTGTCGATGATGTACAGCGGGAATTCTTGGCTGCGGAAGAAGAGAGCGAAGAAATGTGAGCAATACGTGCGGAGTGGATACTCTCGAGAACGAAATATGTCGGCTTACGTTCGATGAAAAGAGAGAGGAGAAAAAAAGTACGCGCTTGATATTAAGAAGGCAGTCAACGCCGAGAGATGGCAGCCCAAGGTTCAGTGAAAAACTTGGCTCAAAAGACACATAGTCTGCGGGAGCTTGAGAAAAGCAGTGCGTGGTAGCTTGTTACAAGGAGTGTTCAATTACATTTGCCTCCTGGGCTGCAACTTTTTCATTCGGTGATAGAATTCAAAAGTGTTGCACTCAAATGGAAATGTGGGAAATCTCCTCTTTCCCAGGAACGCATTACTTTTCGATACAGTCCCCACCCGCGGGGATGCACTTCCACCACCTGTGCACAACTAGTCTCTGCACGCCGTCGTAGGAGAATGGGGGTGGCTGTTGACGAAACACACGACATGCTGAAGGAGCAGAAGCTTCAAGATGTTTTTGCCTCACGCCATCAGACTCTTTGATGTTTTCCCCAGGCGAAAAAACGCCCGAAGTGCACACGGTCGGAGTCTGACGAAGGAGGCCGTCACCGATGCGGTGTGCCTGTTTGTGTCGTCAACAGCCGCCCACATATTTCTATGACGGCGTGCAGAAACTCGTTGTGCACAGGTGGTGCAAGTGCAACCCCACGGGTGGGTACTATATTCGAACATTGACGTGCTCCTTGGAAAAAGGAGATTCCAAAACTTTGATTTGAGTCTAACACCTTTCACTTCCATCCCCGAATCAAAGAGTTACAGCCCGAGGAGGCGAAACCCTTCTGAACACTCCCTTTGCATGTTGACACTTCGTCGTTTGATTTCTCGTCGTTCTTATCGACTAGGGCCCCAATCTGATTGGCTCCGGAGCGATAATGAGATGCTAAGGACTATCCACGACCTTGTTTTTTTAAGTTGTCGGTGACCATAACAAAGCCTACGCATCTCCTGAGGCTGCTTGGGTGAGTCAATCACTGAGACCTAAGAAAGAATAAAACAAATGACAAATAAAAAAGAATGAAGAAGTCTATAACGAAAAATGGCATCTGCGCAGTGAAACTTAGAAATACGTAAGCACGTAAAACAACACGCTCAGTATCCCGATAACGCAGATCGTTCTTCTAAGAGCGATGCCTAATTTTCTTCAGTCTCGCCATTTTGAGAGCTTTCTCCAAAGATCGCAGCAAATGGCTCTCCTCCGACAGGCGGTGGAAACTGAAACAGACACGAAATGGGACGCCGCAAAGACAAAAATTCTTCCGTCAGACAATGTTCTTTCGGGCATTTCTACGATTGATTACTTGTCAGAATTGCAACATAGGAAATCATGACATACTGACTCTATTGAGTATTTTCACGACGTGACTTTGAACTTATTTCAAGGTTTCGTCTTCAGACCGCGGGGCACCGTGAATACTTGCTTCATTCAAAGAAAGCTGGCGAGTGAAAGAAACCTGCCGCCAGATCTTTCTGTTCCATACGCTAGGTGCCGTATTTTTCAGCGGAGTCGCCGATGGTCACTGACAAGGTGAGGACGCCAGGAGGAGCTACAACTGTCCCGCCTCCGGCGTGAGCTGCCATTTTACGACAACTCTTCGTGAACTTCGTCAAGCTGTTGCCGCTGCTCGACGAGGTCTTGCATCCCTGAGACACTTGGGCAAAAAAAAAAACATCGCCGAAAAAAAAGAAAAAAAAAGAACCATGCGATGAAACCCCAAAACACGTACGCAACTTTTCACATTATTGCGCTAATTGGAGGAAATCGAAGACACCAAAACGAGAAACGAAACACAAGCGAAACTACAATAGACACAAAACAAAAACAAAATAAAAAAACACGCAGCAAAATCCCTAAACAAAGGAACATAAACGAGCTCGTTCGCGGGTTCCACCCACAAGGAAAACACCAAGCTATGGCGGCCCAACTTCCAAGTCCCGCTTTGTCTCTCCGCTTTGGGCTTTTCGTTCTTTGTAAACATCACTATCTTTACTCCGCCTCAGATTACGAAAGAACCGGGCAGAGCGATACGAGCCATCAAAACCAGTCCAACGCCGTGCGGGTGTAAGGTGACCTTCGGAAGGGGCACAGCGACGCGCAGTGCGCGAAGTCACGAGACACGTTCTCGGCGCTCCATTGGCTGGGATGAGTCGTAGCGTCCGCTTTGGTCCATGCCGCAGGTATTAAGTAAAGAGTGTAAAAACTAGCGGTATACGCGAAAGTGGCGTTGATGCAAAAACCCATAAGGTGGCTTCGATTGAACATTTACAAAAGGACACGCCGACAGTTGCAGCTAGGTACACAACACAGCGAAGCGCATTTAAATTCTCCACAAGAACGCCACCTTTATTTTTCATTTTGTTTTCTAGCCAAATAAGTAATCTGAAACGTATGAGGCGGTTTTGACGAAGAACTCAAGAACCGTTGCATTCAAGTGAGTTCTTTCGACTATACTCTTTGTAAAGTAAACCAAAAAAAGCAAGATGAACGTGGAACGGGTCCAATTTATGCTCGACAGAACACTCGAAATGACAAGAATCATCCTTAAAGCCTCAGGCCACTGGGAATTTCAAGAGCGCTCGCGAAATAAAAATCGATAAAAAGCTTCCCTAAACACTTAACAAAAATTAAAAAAAAAACAAAAAAAAAAAAAACAAGCGTTATTTTAAGTTCCTTTCCTTTCCGCTCATCGAACATAAAAGTGGGTCAGCGTCGCTCCCTTGCGAAGTAAGCAGCGAGAAGGTGCACTGGTATCAAGAATTCCTACGTATACTTTTTTTTAAGCTGAAAAAAGTTGGACAAATAGCAATAATAATAACAAACCTTAGCAGTTAACCAGAAGAATTTCGGAGCGTTTCGAGAAGCGAACATCCTTTATTGGCTACAACAATAAAAAAAAGATCAAAAACATTTCTATTTTTTATTGCATCTTCGTGAATATGTAAATAAGGCTGGGGAGAATCGTTTTCCTTCGAGCTGAGTGTATTTTGTATATTTATTTAAAGATTACGAGTCCCGATTTCGTGGATTCATTTTAAAGTTTACTTACACATATTAGTATGGAAGAAAAATGCATGGTAATGCCTCTCCGTCTTTTAGATGCTTATCGATAAGGGTAGCCATTTTAAAGTCGCAATCGGACTTTTTCTTCCCCTTCTGCTGCGAAGTTCAGTACTATAAAATAAAAAGATATCATTCGTTCAATGCCTTTTTTTTAGAAAAAAATGAATACAAATGATATGCAACTACGCATGGCGCAGATGCGACATTCTCGGTAAGGACATGGTGCGACAAAGAAGGCTCAGGTACAAAGAAGGCTCAGAGACCGAGAAATATTCGCACAGAACAGCGACTACTTCTTTGTTTAGTAGTTTTCCTTTTTTTTTTTTAGACAAAAAAATAAATAAAATCAAACACTTTCGGTAAGAATGCCGTACAAGGGAAGTTAATCCAGAGCGGGTGGTTTGAGAGAATCCGCTCGGACGGAAAGAATACCAGAAAAGTATCTTCAGAAGGCCATTACCATTTCGGATCGTTTCAAATGGGAAGGGGCGGACCGGGTACCGCGTAATATCGGTGAAGTAGGTTTTGTGGGCATGTACACGTGCGCCTGTGTGCGCAGTGTAGGTGTGCGTTCAATGTGTTTGTGTTTGCCTATGGATGTGTGCGTGTGTGCGTTATGTGTATGTGCGTCCCTGTGCAAACGTATGCGTTCGACTGACCAAAAACCCGAGAGGGAGGCACAGAGAGAAGGACAAACACAACGTCTAAAACACAGCAAGCAAATTTTATTCACCGTGCTTCCTTTATACAGCCTTCACAGCCCTAGCGCCCTCTCGCATATTTCCACAAGCTAAACACTGCCTGCTAAAGTTCAAACGTTGACTTTCACCCTCATGTCTAATAACAACCAGCTCGACTGCCTAGCAACGTTGTCTTCAAATATGTGTGTGCTCCCGCTTGCATGCGTGCATGTGCCTGTCTGTGCGTTAATGTGGTTTTGGGTGTGTTTAAGTATGTGCGTGCGTGTGTGTGCGCATAGGTGGAGATGCCATGGCGGTTTCGCGAAGACGCTTGTCGATCAGGCTTTCAGCGAAACCAAAAATTGGAGTCGAAATCTTTCAACACAATTATATTAAAGAAATGAAGATGACTCCCATACCTACAATATCCAAGTTCGTCAAAAACAACACGATTCTTTTCTATGAGACGTTTATCTATTTCAAGATTCGCTCTACAATGCCCACTTATTCTCATTTCATGATAATGATTTTTTTTTACCAATTAATTTATCTCGCTGTAGTTCATAGCGCTACTTCTATACCAACGAGAAGGTTTTAGTCTTCAAGACGCATAGAGCTTACGGAATTATCCACATGATTGTACAATTACTACCAACAGCAATGTCTTCCCGACAAAGAAACATTTTTTGTAAATCCACAACCAGTCTTAGCGGTGACGTGTAACCAGTAACGGAGCTACATAGAACGCGTTACTGTTTTCGGTAAGGTAGAAACGCACTCGTTATATTTCTTAAGTAACACAAAACGTACTTAGGTTACTTATTTCCAGCAACGGGTAACGAAGTAACCAGTTACTCGTTGTTACCTATTTTCCCAACGCAGACACTCGAACCTTAGAAAAACCCCAAATCCCACGCCCTTTGTCCCAGCGTCGAAAAAATCCTGCCGTTTCATAAATAAAAAGTAAAGCAAAAATAACGCGCATTACGCTTTAAAAACAACGGTAAGGGTACCGCGTTCCTTCTATTCTGAAGTAACTCAGGTCCTTAACGCGATCATTTTGTTTGTGCGTAAGGACTAACGCATTCCCTTACTCTTTTCCACTAACGCCTCCAAATGTAACAACAACATCGATCTTCAATCGCGAGAAACGCATTCTTTTCTCCGTCAGACTGCTGGGGGGTTTCTCCCCCGGTGGAGGAATCCCTCGGAAAACGATCACCT